AAATGGAGACAATTCACCCATCTCACCCCGTGTGTGTGTGTGTATATATATATATATATATATATATATATATATATTATAGGCAGCAATCCCTCTTTTATATAAGTTCCAGTGGTTGAGTTTTTTTTATATAATTTCTCATCAGTTCATATTTTTTTTCTTTCCATGACATAAATTATGTAAAAATTGTTGAAATGTTTTCCAAGTGCTTTCGGCTATACTTTTAGCCATTATCAAGGATAAATTTTATTTTACTTTTAACTGGATACATGGATTGTTTTATGTATGTATCTAGAGTTATAGGAATGTTCTATTTTCTAAACATGGTCAGCACATTGTGGCCATGTTCATAGTTGATATTATTGAGTATTGGCTTTTTCTTTTTTATTAATAATAATTTATAATCTATAAGATGGTTTGGAATATAGATTACCATATTAGATTTTTTCTTTCTAACACTGAGCATGCAGAAAAACAAACAACATTAACATTTTCTACAAAAATCAAATGCATAGTAACTATAAGCAAAATGAACTTTCACTTAGAAACATCATAAAGAAATACACAACTCCATTCAACAAAAAAATTAAATCATTTATTAAAATATTTAAAACCACTAACCTCATTGTCAAAAATAATAATTCACCTACAATATCTAAATTACAGAGAAGCAATATTATTTATGAATTAACATGTCCCTTAAGGAGCTGTGTTCCTGACCAATCCAAATTTGTAAATAATTATATTAGATATACTACATGTTTAACAAGACTCACATTACATCTCTCTGACAATAGCTCAATTAGGTCTCATTTAAATATACATGGGGACCTACCAAACTATCCATAATATACTTGTTGATAATACAATTATAATAGCATCATCCACATGTACAAAGGTTAAAAATAATAATAAAAATAATGGAAGAATTATTAATAAAAAAGGAAAGGCCAATATTCAATAACATCAACTATGAACATGGCCACAATGTGTTGACTGTGTTTGAAAAATAAACATTTAATAACATTTTCTGCCTTTATAAAAAAAAACCAAAAAAAAACCCAAAAAAAACTTTAATTCAAATATCAACTGTCAATCTCTGTCAAGATTTGGTATGAATAAAAACCTCTAAAATGTAAAGATTTTACCTTTTCTTTATAGCAGAAAACATGGGATAATCAATTGTCAAATGGGGTTTATAAGAAAACTCACTAAGCACACACATTAAACTACATGCTTTTGACAGCTCAAAATAAAAGGTTATTAAAATAATGAACATAGCTTAAGGTGTATAATCATTTTGTTTTGGTTCGAAAAGTAAGAAATTGAAATCTGTCAAGACAGAATGAAGTGAAGCATGGTTGAGAAACCTGAATAATTGCAAGCCACACTTCAATCTGAACTTGTTTCTGAATTTTGTTTCAAAAGGTTTTTAAATGATGCACATCCTGGCATGTAACACACTTTTCAGTTTAGACATTAAATCATGTTCAGTGATTTACATATAAAAACTGGCAATTTTCTAATAATTGAAGAATGTTGGTCTCTCTTTGTGAAAAGGCCTTTTCTCTATTGTTCATTGAAAGAGAAAACAGAAAATCATTATGGAAGCCTAAAGCAGTAACAATTGCAATCTGACTTTCTTTCCTTGCCCCAAAAACCTTGCCAATTATGGAGGAAAGACTACAGAAGATTATAGTGGGGGGAAAAAAAAAGAAAAAAAAGGAGAAAGCTTTTCTGAATGTTATCAGTTTTACTTTTTCTTCTTATGTAAAAGAAGAAAAATAGAATTATAACAGCAACCATTTTTATGGTTTAAAACATTTATCTTTGCTTTTCATCATTTGCTGGAAAAAATGGCTTCAATCTGTAGTCAGAAGGCAATACAGAGAAGATCAACAAAGTTTTATATAGAGGAGCAGCTAATTTAACAGACTGCTAAGGTAGCAAGTTTTAGCTGGGGTGCTCAGCTACTGTTGCCTTGGGCATTTATTAATCTAAGCATAGACAGGTACAGCTGTGCGAGAGTATAAAAAACAAATTTTTTTTACAAAAGTTGGTATCCACAGTATACAGTGTCTACATATTTCCCAAGTATCTTGGTTGCAAGTAAACAAACTATATATATATATATATATATATATATATATATAAATATATTTCTTCTTGTGTTAAGACTTTCTCCCCCACTTTTTATAGACTAACAGAGTGGTAGTATTATGCAAGTTCTGTCATTGAAGGGATCACTTAAGAAATCAGCTTCAAAGTTAACTCTTTTTTAATTACTTATTGAAGAATGACTCACAATTGCAAAAGAGGAAAAAATTAATTTGCAATATGAAAAGAAAGCACTTGATAAATTTTATTTCTTCCCAAGATCAATGCTTGGATTTTAAGTTTGGAAGCTTGAAGATGGAGGCAGTTGCAAAAAAATATTTCTCTGAAATCCTAACCTCAAGCGAAGAAAACATATGCACCAAACAGTAACTGAGTGCAAAGCAAAAGGGAGATGGTGAGAGGGATGGAAGGGTTTTAAATGAACAAGGTCAGCATCGAGCCTGCCCTGCCAATATTCATGGTTGGGATGGGGTGGGGGAGTTACTTGATTGTAATTACTAGGCAGAAAAGGGGGGGATGGGGTGCTTTGGTATTGTATTGTTACTGCTCTTATTACAAGTGAGAAAATCTTGTGCAAAATTATGTTGGGCGTCATCAAGTTAAATTCTCCAGAATTTATATATAATAGACAGGATTTTAGAGAGAGAAAGAAAGTGAGCTGCTAGAGAGACAAATTAGATTTTCCCTGGAAAGGCATGTCGACCAGCAGCTAGCAGTCAGTCAAGGTAGTCAGAGAATTGTAGCAGCAGCAGAATGTGTGTGTGTGTGTAAAAATAATATAGAAAGAAATGTGGAGGTGAATAATGTGGCTGAGCAGTGTGTTATTGCATTGGAACCAGGCAAGAAGGATTGACAAGGGTATAAGACAGAGAGAGAGAGGAAAAGAGAACCTGACCAGTGTAAAGATGGAGAGAAAGGAGATGTAGGTGGAAGCAGAATGTTATGTAGGCCAACATGGCTGACAAAAAAAAAAAAAAAAAATATAGACGAGTGTTTGCATGACCAAAAGATACAACTGCTTGCATCAAAGGCTGGTAACTTTGACTTTTAGGCATCTCTCTCCTGACAACATTAGTGTCAAAGAAGCATAGAGTACAAAGCAGCCAAGGATGGTTGACCCCCCACCCTCACTAATATATTATATATATATATATATATATATATATATATATATATATATATATATATATATATATATATATATACACACACACATGTATGTGTGGCTGGCCTAAAACTCATGCATGAAAAATATAAAAAATTTTTTTATCAAAATCTTTATTATTAAGATGAAATTGTTATCAATATTTTTTTTTTTTTAATTTTTTTTTCCTCTTTTTTAGAACCTTTAAAAATTGTTTCTCTGATGTCAACAGAAAGTTCAAACATTTTTTTTGGTACCAAAAAAAATTGAAATTCTTAAAAAAAAAAAAAAAAAAAAATTATACTTTTCTTTTTTTTTTTTTTTAAGAAAAGCTTTAAAAAAAATTCTTTTGTAGTGATTAATGATTATACAAGTCCTAAGAGAATTTAAATAATCAATTTTTTTTTGTCAAACAGGACCCCCAGTTACAGAAAATCTTGAAATAATAAAATAAAAAATAGTATAGAGATTATTGTCTTAATTTTTTTTTTTCCAGTGAATAACGAATTTTTACAAGAATTGTTTTCATTCTAAATTTTCTTAAAATTCTGTATTAATTTGTAGCAGTCAAGTGATATTGTTATTAAATGAAAACTATTTACTAATCATACATGGAAAAGCTTACAATTTGCATGTGTATAAACATTCCAATTTTTGTAAATATGGACATCCATACACAAGTAAATCAGAACAGCAAGTACAGTAAACTTAAAATTTATTGGTAATTTTTTTTAACATTCACTTAACAAGCATCTTTATAAGACTATGAAGCTAAAGTACCTAAAGTCTAATGTAAGAATGCTTAAAATATAATTTTTTTTTTTTTTGTATTACAGGGTAATATATAATAAAAAAGGTCTTTATATTGTATTTTTCATGTAATTTTATTACAATTATCTCCTTTTACATAAATTAGCCAAACATCAGGTAGTTGATAAACGTGTCAACACCTCATAAAAACTAAAAAGGTGAAGAGAGGGAGGGCGCAAAGAGAGAGAGAGAGGGAGGGCGCAAAGAGAGAGAGAGAGGGAGGGCGCAAAGAGAGAGAGAGAGGGAGGAGAGAAGGGAGAGAGAGAGAGGGAGGGCGCAAAGAGAGAGAGAGAGGGAGGCGCAAGAGAGAGAGAGGGAGGCGCAAGAGAGGGAGGGAGCAAGAGAGAGAGAGAGGGAGGCGCAAAGAGAGAGAGAGAGGAGAGAGAGAGAGGAGGGCGCAAAGAGAGAGAGAGAGGGAGGGCAAAGAGAGAGAGAGAGAGGGAGGGAGGGCGAAGAGAGAGAGAGAGGAGGGGGAGAGAAAGGGAGAGAGAGAGAGGAGGGCGCAAAGAGAGAGAGAGGGAGGCGCAAAGAGAGAGAGAGAGGGAGGGCGCAAAGAGAGAGAGAGAGGGAGGGCGCAAAGAGAGAGAAAGAGAGAGAGAGAGGGAGGGCGAAAGAGAGAGAGAGAGGGAAAGAGAGAGAGAGAGAGGGAGGGCAAGAGAGAAAGGGAGAGAGAGAGAGGAGGGGGGCAAAGAGAGAGAGAGGGGAGAGAGAGAGAGGGAGAGAGAGAGAGGGAGGGAGCAAGGGAGAGAGAGAGAGAGGGCGCAAAGAGAGAGAGAGTGAAAAAAAAAAGAAAAAGTGAAAAAAGTATAAAAAATTAAAAAAGCTGGTGAATATTTATGAGCATTTATTAAACTTACACTATTTACATTATTCGGACTAATGTCCTCATCTTGGTTGCCATATTTATTACATTTTGGCCACTGTACCCTCCAGCCTTCTTCAGGTGGTTGGAATGTCGAACTGAATCCTTTATTTCGCTCACTGGGGTAGACTGTTATAATTCCACGTGCCACGTTTAATGGATGTCAGTTATCAGTTATCTCCTGTTAATTCCCCTCACCATGTTCTCCACTGCCGTAACCGGGTATTGAACTCACACTCTTTGGGTCCTGTCACTGGATCTAACCAATGCATTTATCCACTGTGCCATGTATCCTTGAGGACATCTGTGTATGAATTTCTGGGAATTAACAGGAGATAACTGGTAACTGACATCCATTAAACATGGCACATGGAACTAGAACAGTCTACCCTAGTAAGCAAAATAAAAGGTTCAGTTCGACATTCCAACCACCTGAAGAAGGCCGGAACATACAACGGCCGAAACACTGTAATAAATATGGCGACCAAGATGAGGATAATAGCCCAAATAATGTAAATAGTGTATATAATACCTCATCTCAGAAATACAGACAGATTCTTAAACTTAATATTTTTTTTTTATATATATATATATATATATATATATATATATATATATATATATATATATATATATATATATATATATATATATATATATATATATATATCACACAGAGTGGTAAGTCAAACATTATCTGCACTCTTGTCTCAAGGTATGTTATGGCAAAAGTGCAGATAATTTGACTTATCCTTGTATATAAGGTAAGCATTAAAAAAATAATAAGGGAAAATTCATTTCCCTGCAGAATATGCTACCTTCTGTGCATTTGGTGTTGAAGGACCCCCCCCTCTCTATTTTTATTTATTTATTTATTTTTTTTTTAGGGTTTTGGTCATCACATACAAGTTGAGAAATAAAAGATAGCAGCCTATAATTAGCATTTAATGGTCATCTCCCATGAAATGTCAATGGGGGCCCTACAATATTATCATTCATTTGCAAATCTTCATAATGCTTTAGTATTCTCTAAGTTAACTCAATTTAAGGATGCCTTCACTGAACCTCATGTTTACTTGGATGTTACTTACAGGGATATAAAACCAGATTAATACAAATTCAAGTTTACCCAGTTCACTAGTGTGTAGATTTGGTAAGCACAAGCAAAAAACATTGTCAGTTAATTTTTAGTCTGTAAAAGTTTTTACTTTTCTCTGATCTATTACATATTGGGGGGCAGTGAGTAATTAAGGTAAACAAGTACAATGTGTAACAACCTAATGACAAGTTTCAAGACAAAGAAACATTTTGTTATCATCCATGACTTATTTTTGATGTGACAGTGAAAATTGAAAGAAAAAGAAATTTCAAAGTGGCTGTCAGGACAGGGATATTTTTTGTAATTACTTAAAGTATTGAGCATTTGATAAATTCAACAAAGGTCAAATATCAAAAACTTGTCCTCAGGGGGAGAAAGAAGGAAGAGAGCCAATGATTAAATACACACACAATTCATAAAATCATATAAACAAGAACTTTGGTTTTCATTGTGAAAGAGAAAATCAGGTCAGAATAAGTATATAACAGTCAATAAAAATTCAAATAACTTATCTTTCTACCAACTTCAAAGTTCCACAGAAATACTGTTTCAACAGGGTCGGGTAAATTTATTGACTATTGTTGCTCTAGTTTTCTATTTAGCTCTTTCCTGAAATAAAATTCTAATAATTTTACTTATTTTGGTAGGTATTGATGCTTTGTATTCTTATAAATATATAATGTAAAACTTATCAGCTTTTGGATAACTAGTTTCCAGTTAGCAAAGATGATTTAATTTTTATCTATTTCTGTGTTTTAATAGTCAATTTTAAAAAGGTATGAAAACATTAAACCATAGTTTTTCAAATTATTACAATTATTTTAAAACAATTTTCTCAATTTATTTTTCTTTTTCATAACATCAATCACTTGAAAAACAAATCTTGTGAGCTTCACTAATTCCAAGAGTTTGGAAACAATAAAAGTAATTCATCTGCTATCAAAATGCCAGACAAACATAGCTGGAAATCTGGGAGGGTGTCAAAAAAAAAAAATTCTTTTATTGAAGTCTCTTACATATATCCACACACAGCAAAACAGGTCTCCTTGCAAAACAATGTTCCCCTGTTGCTGTTGGAGAGGGGGAAAAAGTGTAAGCATTTTAAAGCTTTAAAGAGCTTTTTTTTTTTATAATTGTTTTATAATTTGAGAGGAGTGTTTCAACTTGAATAGGAAAGGAAGAAGCCTTATTGAGAGAGAGAGAGCGACACTCAACTCTGTTGTGGCTGGTCTGCATAGATCAGCAAAGCAAAGGATGAGTAAAGAGCTGAAATGAGGGAGGGGACACACCGGATTAGGATTGCTATTTGGGTCAGGAAGGAAAAAGGCCAGTTGTATAGGATGCTTCTGGCAAGGACAAAGATAACAAATGACCAAAACAATACACTTGCCTTTGTTTGTTCTGCTGGGATTAAGTGACATTCAATAATCATTTAAAGTAAAGAGACTCAAAAGTTACAGTTAGTTGAACTTGACACCAACGCACTTTTACAGAAATCAATTGCATCATTGACCCTTTTGGGATTTGATATGCAAAAACTGAAGCAAAACATTTCAGGGCAATGTTTTAGGATATAAAGAAACTGTTTTGGATTATTAACTCAGTAATTAAAAGTGGAAAACAAAATGATTGGTGGATAAAACAAGTTTACTGATACTAAGACTATAAGTGAAGCATCCAATTATCTTGGTTTCTGCTAAACAAATGGAAGAGAGAGAGAATCTTAAACTAAGACGCGACAAAGTTTAGACTTGAATATTTGCAAATTTACAAACAAAGTAAATTATTCCAGATAAGCTTTATACTGTCTCACATCTGATATTTTAAAATTTTTATTATTCTGTAAGATGCCAAAATATACTTGTGCAGCCAGAACTGAATTATGCATTAAGATCTTTTAATATATAGAGAGTTTTAAATTTCCGTAGACATCAACTTAAGAGTGTGGTGCTTATTACTAAACTGAAATAATTCAAGGTGTATGCTAATAAGTAGTAAGAGATTATACAAAATCTAAAAGTATAGTAAATCTGTTAGCATTATTTACCAAGCTCAAACCTGTTTACTCCAAGGTCATTTTAAATTGTCTAGTCTATCAGGATGTTTCCAAGGCTTAACAACCCAAATTACTAGCATTATTAATTGAAGAATCAGAGGAAAAATTTTGGTAAGAAAAAAAAAGAAAAAAAAAAGTTATAATTATCATTTCTGCTGTGACAATTGCACCACCACCCCATCAACAAAACCAAAGGATACTAATCACAAATAATAACCAGGTGTGTAGGAGATTGTTTCTAAATAATTTATAGAGACAAGTTGCTGTCAGAGAGCCTCTTTCAAAATTTATTTCTAAAGAATGAATTTCAGTTTGAACATGTTAAACCTTTAGGCATTGATAAGCTAGAATAAAATGCAGGGATTAAGAATCAAAAAAATCAAATTCTTCTAGGAAAAAAAAATGTGTAGAAATTCAGAAATGCTTAATGTTAGGACAGTAAGCTTAGTAATTGCAGCAGTGGGCTATCAAATTAAAGGCCTGAAGATTTTTTTTGCAAAAGCAAAATTTTAAATAATCAGACACCTAAATGTTATTCAATAGATAAGAAGTACTTAAATAGTAGACGCAATGCTTGTAATCAAATAATGTGGATTAGGAAAGGTAAAGGCTATTTTCACATTCCAAGTGATCAGAAAGCACAAAGCAGGTAAGAATATGTCAGATACACGAGATGTTCTCAGCCTAACCCAAAAATTTGGCATTCTGCTGATGTTCGTTCATTGAAATACAGAATTGGGGAAGTGGATTTGACGAACTTTTCAGCACCCACTCTTAAGATCGTGCTGCCATTCTGTAACCAAATGATATTTGTTTGTTATATCTGTATTATCTAATATGTAAAAACAGCAGTCTATAAATTTGGTAAATAACAGCAGCATCCTTCATGAATACAGTGATCAGGTTACTATAAAAACAAGTCATCTTGTAACCTGAGAACAAGCTGCTCATCAGGTTATGAAAGAAGTTGCAGGATTCTTGAGAAATTTAAAGCATCAGAGATTTCTAAGCATTAGCTGATAAAATAAGGGAGAGAACTCGTTCTAACATCTAAAACTTAAGGCTACTTATCAAGAGCTAAAATTATTTTTTTTTAATCACTTCACAAAAAAAAAAAAAAAAAAAAAAAAACCCCAAAAAAATCTCCATATCGTAACAAGTTGTGACATTTTATTTGCGGCCCTAATCTGGTAAAGTGTACACACTATCTTTCTAGAGTTGGACTTCTCAATCTAGGTCAGTTGTCATTCATTTCACTGTTTAAGGAAACAAAAACAGGGACAGCAACTCAAATATGTGTACCCACTAAAAATAACAATTGTAGTAATTATATATATATATATATATATATATATTGGCTGAATTACCCGGCTTGCTGTGGGCCACGCATTTTTGTAAGAAAATGATTGATTTTAAATCATTGTTATAATTTGTGGTAAAAAAAAAAAAAAAAAATGATGCATTTCAATATTATCCAATTATCTTACTGATTATCTTCTGGCTCTCTTCTTTTATATTTTGGATAGGAATCATTCCTTTGTTCCAATTTAAATCAAAGGGAAAACATTTTCAGTGGGGGTTTGTACAAAAAAAGTTTAATTTGACTAATTTGATATATGTTTAATGTAATACTTGATTGAATGAATTGATGAGCAGATTTCAACATTAATATTGATAGTTGAATTGTTGCAACAAATTTGTATTGTAAGGCACTACCCACTGACTGGTGATTTCTTGCTCAACTTGATGTCCATCTTGTCTCATTTTGATCTTGCCAGTGTGACTATCTCCTGGCTGTCTTCTCCTATATTTTGGATAGGAGTCATTCACTTGTTCAAATTTAAATCAAAAGAAAAAAAAAAATTTCAGTGGGTGTGGGTGTCTCCTGGGGACCCCTTCGATCAAAATGAAATATAATTATCCAAGTATCTTAGGAGTCATTCCATTATTCAAATTTAAATTATATCAAAAGGAACTCTGCACCACCCCACCCCAAGACCACCTTTGATCAAATTGAAACAAAATTACCCAAGTATCCTGGGTAATGTAGTTTTAGAATATATGGTTATGGGTCGGGCGTATCCCCAAAACTCTAGGAGTTTGATGACAGACAGACAAGCTACAACTCCTCCCCACTTTCTCTTTCTATATATATATATATATATATATATATATATATATATATATAATCATACAGAGAGAGAAAGGGAGGGAGAGAAAATAAACTATTAAAATATCCTTTATCCAAAAAAATACTCACATGAACAAGCATGATAGCACCAAAAGGAATTAAGCTTTTGTTCATAGTAATAAAAAGAAAAAATTTTTTTCGAATATATTTATAATAGAGAAAGCCTCTGCTGACTGCCACATAGAAGCCTGGCCAAGCAGAACACTTGACAGATTTGAGCATTTGTAATGAGCACTTTTCATACTAACACTGCTTTAATCATAACCAAGTCTTTAATAATAATGGGTTTGGATATATTCTGTACTCTGTAATGTAATAATCTTGAGTGACCAACTGTGACTTGAGGATCTTAATAAAGGCTTTCTATTATATACACATATCGAGGCAGTATAATCATTAATTTGTCAAAGCTTATAGGATGTTTGAAAATGTAAAAATGGATTAATAGCAAAGAAAAGGAATGTGGAGTATCAAATCCAGAGTGTTGTAAAATAGAAACCAAGTGACTGCCAATCTTTGCAGAGTTGAAAAGAAATATTTTGCTATCTGTTGTTGGCAAGCAATGGTCACCTTTTAACTCAAAAGGAGATAAGAAGAGAGTAACAGAACAAAGGCAACATTAATTATAGAAAAGATGGTGCTTGTAGCTTACCAATGACAACCACTGATGACAGAGAGAGAGAGGAGGGGTAACAGTGGATATATGCCAGTAATACACACACACACACATAGCATTATTAATCTTATAGAACAGGTGAAAGATGAGAACATCCCACCCTCACTCAAGATAGTAAATCCCTTGACAGAATTTAAAACTTACAATTAATGCAGTTTCTTTTTTTAGACATTTTGTTATGGAGAAGTTTTAGTACAAATCTATTCCATATTATCTGGAGGGGAAGAGGTCTATGTGAGCTTACTTGGTGGGGGATTACAGCCTGGGGAGTTTCCTGACTAAAGCTGATCCAGAAAATGTGTTTTATGAAGCAGACAAACAAAAGTGAAATTAGAAGCATATTTGAACCATTCCACTCAGGTTTGGTGCTTCAGTCTACATAAGAATTTACCAATTAGGATTTACAAATGCAGAATTAGTACATGAAAACGTAAGAAAATATTACAAGCTCGCTTGAGCATTTTTCAGCACAATTCTTTTTGTTTTTGCACAGCAACACTGATCAAGGATTCTGTAACAATATACTGATTTGGGATGTAATTAGTCTTCTTTGTTACAGTGTGTAGTAATTAGTGGTATTAATCAATATATATATATATATATATATATATATATAATAAACATGACTTTAATGGCCTAAAATCCAATAGTCTTCTATTTGCGAGAGAGAGAGAGAGGACAACAAAATGTATTTATAGCCAAAATATATAGAACCATAAAAACAAACTGGATATTTCAACCCAGAAGCAAATGGTTTATCTGCAAGGATTTTGACAGGTTGCTTGTACAACTGTTTTGTTTTAGACCATATATGCTCTTCTTGGGAAAATTAAACCAGATCAGTTGTTAATTACTTTCTGAAATTCCTTTTTCTAAGTTGATAGGTAAAATAGGTAAGGCATGGCCAGAACTTGAGTAAGCACAAAGAATGTGTGGAATGACCAAACATTTTTCATTTTCATGAAAGTATAAAGAGGGGAGGGTTAGTAGAAATGCAAACATGAATGAAAAAGTCTAACTGGAAGAAAAATAATCTTGCAATAGGACAAAAGCTAGAGAGAGTTTCAAAATTTGGAGTTGATGTACACATGAAAAGAAAATCTACCCATAATGCACTGCAGTTAATAACCCCCCAAAGCATCAATAGCAACAATGGTGCAGAAGTAGCAGAATCATTTTGGGCAAAGGTGATAGCAATACAATTGAAAGCATCAATAAACAATTTGTAACCTGGATTTCAGCAAAGCCAACCAGAACAACAGCAAAGAAGCTAGTAGTTACAATCTGTGCATTTTGAAGGCAGTCAACAGAAATTCTAGAGACAACATGCACTTTTGGATGTGTTTTTTTTTTTTTTTAGATAAAGAATAAAAAATAAAAAAATTATATTGTTAATTTCCAACTGCTAGATGAATTGTCATGTGAAAAGTGACAGTAAAGAAAAATGAGTGTAAAGATATTTATTTTGGAAAAGTGAACTGAACTGACATTGAAATTAAAACTGTATGGTCAAAGCCCGAGGGGAGGGGGGTTGGAGCAGAAAAACATTTCAAACTCAAAAGCGTCTTAATTATTGATCAAGTGATAATATAAAAGGGAACAAATGGGATTACATTGATTTATCAATGTTTGAACTTATAGGAAAACTTACAATGCAGCATTAAAAATGTTTGGCTCCTTTTTTGCTTTATTTTTTGACCTACTGTAGATATGGTTTGGTTAATGGAAATGAGGAGGTTCTTATCCTTACCATTCACAATAAGAAAAGAAAAAAAAAGAAAAAGAAAAAAGGGGACAAGGACAGCTTACACACACACAAAAGAAAAGACAAGTAAAAGCTCTTTTTTTATATTAAGTTGTTACGATAGTTGTTAAAACTCAATGAACCTTAAAATTCAACAATTTTCAAAAAGCTTTTTGCTAGAAATTATGTAGGGTCTTTGTCACAAAGATCAGAATGCTCTGGCCCTTTTCTAGGGGCAATAGACATTATGCCTAGTTCAAAATTATGATCAGACTATAAATAGAATAATGTGAAGAGTATCCCAGAAAATATTTTCAAGTTTTTGCTCTAGAAACAACTCCTTACATTGAAAAGAGAAGAGAAAATATTTCCATTCATTTAATGAAGTGGGATCTACATTTGTTTTTTTTAATCCCAAATTCCCCTTCTCTCAAAAAAAGAGAAAAAGAAATTTTGTCACCATCTGATAAAAGCAGCTATTTTAAAATGTCAATATGGTTAGCAACAACTTATACAAATGCATGAATCTTAAAAAACATTTTTTCATTTAAAATTAAGTTATTCTTCAAATAATGTCAGAGAAAAGCTTTTCTACACTATTTGATGAAATTCTTGAATTTCCCAATTTCATTTTAGTCTTTTAAGAATAGAAGTACTATGATCGTTATAGTTTGATCCATGCTTATTAGCTTAATACTTTTGTTATTTGTATTACGAAAATAGTTAAGAGCTCTTTGATATTCGAAAAATAGAACAAAACTTCTTAAATGTAGTTAACAAGATGTAATAGGCAAAATACATGTCATAAATAGATATCAAATAAAATATTAAAAAAACACAAAAAAAAAACAAAAAACAAAAACTAAGTGAATGAAGAATGCCATTAAATTAATCATAACAGAATGGGAGCATTAATAAGCCAAAAGGTAAATGGTGCTGCCCATTAGAATCAAATTAAAACATTTCCTTATTAAATCAGAACACTGAGTAAGATGACATCACTGAATGGATTTTCTAAGAATCTTCATTTGTGGAGAGGCAGCTTGTTTTATTTGTTAGGAAGGATCAAGCAATGAAAATGTGTTTTTTAATAATAATAATAATCCTGTAGAACAGATTGTTTTACCCCAGACCCAAATGAATAATTGTCAGAACAATGGGAAGAAAAGAAAGCATGTAACTCAACTGGAAACAATGATTTGAGAGAGAGAGAGAAGAGTGGGGGTAAGAAAAAAAAAAAAAAAAAAAAAAAAAAAAAGAGAAGACATTTCCTCACATTTTAAATATCATTAAATAAAGTTTTTTTTTTTTTTTTAAATATGAGGATAAAAAAGGCTTTTCAAAATTTAGTTTGTAAATATAATACACTTAGGAAAATGTTGGTAGGGTGATTTTTTTTTTTTTTAAGACTGGTGGTAATTTGGTGATAGGTACAACCAATTATGATAATAATAAAGTGATGAAAGTGGGTAAGGAAGGAGGAAAGGAACTTTTAAACAATTTGAACCTTCCATAAAAAAAATCTTAAAATAAAATATGAAACCTGAATGATAAAATTTTGGGAGGAGTCACAAGTTGACACAACCAGTGAAATTTTGGAAAATAATTGGTGGGTGGATAGGGGGAGCAGTAGAGAGTCTCTGGTTAAGGTGTTCAGTAGATAGAAAGAGGAGTTAAAAGTTTCAATATTCCAGATACTGGAAAGGGTCCGAAACTTATCTCTTCATCAATACCAAGAGTGAAAATGAATTTAAGGGTTTGAAACTTTATATTCCAAATTCTTATTAACAAATATCATCTCAGCTTAGAATCAGTATTATCATTCGAAATTCTGATGTGAATAAAGAATGATAACTGACTGGCCAACTATCATTTTTGTCAGTCTATTACTCTGACTAGACTAAAATACTAAGTAATACTTACAAGAATAAAAGTTAGCCCAAAATTTCAATGAATATTTGCTCAAGTTTATAGTAACATCACCGAGATCGATTTTAGTCAACAAGAATTTAAAAGAAAAAGAGCTGACTTGAAATCATTTTTAATAACCTTGGTATTAATAGAGAGGCAAAGAAAAGTAACCATGAAAGGACCGTCCAGTTTTGGAATATATACCAGTAGTATAGCAGTAGGAACAGAGTGTGGTGCCTTACGTCAACTTGGTATTGCAGTGTGAACACTTTAAGCAGCTTCTGTGGTAGATGTTTTTGTTGGCCTCAACGCGTTCCATTGCGTAAACGGTTTTCTCACATGCAGCACACTTCTCGACGTGGACAGGTGCAAATTTGTTTCCTTTATCCTGCACAACCAAATTAGTAGCAACAACAAGATTAGTGAACATGCAATGGAAAGACCAGCGTCAGGAGAAGGACACCTTTTAAAAAAATTAAAGGTAAAATAAACGATGTAATGTACTTCAGGTGTTGTTGCCAGTGGCACAGCAACACCTGTAGCAAATCATCATTGTCAGCTTTATTATGAGAAATGCCAGAATCCCCCAATGGCACGTGACAAAATGAGACAACCTCTGAAAGCAATTCCCAATATTCCAACCCTCATTAACCTTTTGCTTCTTGAAGCCACTTAAATAGACAAATATATTGGCACAGAAAAGATAATACAAGAGACAGCATCAAAATGAATCAACGAGGCATGCTAAAGCAAACTGCATACCTGATTCTGATTGTTTCGTTTCAATAATAAAAATTCAAACAGGTTACCAGTTTATATTGTTATTAATTAAATACTGCACAAGAGTAATTATAAGACAACCAATTTACATTTAATCTAATTTGTTTTTAATGTACACTTAATTTAAAACAAAAAAACGTAGATGCAATGTTCTATCTATTTGCAATGTCATTTACATTGAATACAAAAATTCAACTAATTGACTAAAAAGAAAAAACGTGCTTAACTTTTTTAAAGTTATAAAAATAGTGAAATCAGTGCATATTACAAGTGCATTTTTATTTAAATTTTTGTAATACATTTGTTAAAATTTTTTTCGTAACAGTAGAAATAAAAAAGGTTTAAACTTCTTTAACCAAAAAACTATTATTACATATTTTTTTTTTAATAGTCTTCTGGCACATTATGATTAGATAGATCAACTGGCATGGATCATTTTAAATGTTAATGATATTACAGAACAAACTTATTCTGCTTTTAATTTATTTTAAATAGAACAAGAAGATCAAGTTTGCAGATTTGCCTAAATAAAGCATTTAAAGCAAACATTTTTATATACAATTTCATATATGCACACATACATACACAAAGAAAAACAAAGTCTAAATTATACACTGCAGGTCTTGAGAGAATTATTTTTATTTATCTAATTTATTTGACGAAGCATATACGGATTTAGTGAAAAAAAAAAAAAAAATCTCGAGTCTAAAGAATTATTTTTTTGGCGAATAAATTAGGCAACAAAAATAATTAAGAATTAGCATTATGCTAATAAATAAAAGAAAATACTTTGTGGGTCTCTAAATGTGTAAAAACTTAAAAAGAGAAAAACTGTGATTAATCAAAGTAAATATCTTTATGAATCTGAGAGGGAAATCTGTAAATTGCTAATAAAAAGATGAAACTTTGCTACTTGTTTAAAAACCATCTTCGCAACACAATTAGAAAATTGTACATTTTTAAAATCAGGAATTGAGCCTTGTGCCTCTTATAAACTTCGAATCCCAAGAAAAAAAATCTTGAGTCTCTGAAATTAACAGTATTGCTACAGATACCAAAATAGAATCATGTATAAAAAAAACAAAAAAAAAAAAAAACACGCACTTATTGATTGAAATTCCTAATGTTACTCGGAAAGGTAACGGGGAACGTTGGATTTGGAATATTTAAACCAGCAGGGAGCAGAACGTAATTATCAGCTGAGAAAAACTCAAAGAAACAGCATTAAAAGTGCATTATTAAAGTAGATTAAAAATTTAAAAAGTCAATACGTATATCGGCAGCATTTTTTTCTGTAAATAATTAAAATGCCATTATCATTATCTCTATCAACAAAATTGGTTAAGAAAGAAAAAAAAGATTTGTCATGAGTTTGTCAAGAGAAAGAAAGCAAGAAAGTATGGCCGATATTATCCTTCTTGTTGTTCTGAAGAACTTGAGTATGAGGGATTTTTTTTTTTTTTAATAAATGAAAAAAAAATAAAAAAAAATTTGGTCTCGTCACAACTCAAAGGCTTTTCTATAATGGAACTCATTAACTGAGAAAAGAAATCTAGTCTGAAAATAAGCTTAATAAATCCCACAAAGTCGCCCATTTTTATCAGCAAGGAAGTGACGTTACTGCGCAAGTCTGTTGTCATGGAGATACAACAACTTTCAGGGACACTGTGACATCTCCCCCACCCATCCAAACCACGTGTTTTTCAGCTATTTTCTTTTGAAAAAGACAAGTAAAAAAAGGGAGTTTCGTTTTCCTTTCAGAAAATATTGTAGTTATGATGAAGTTGCAAAAAATTAATCTAGCTTGATAGAAAGAAGAAAGAAAAAAAAAAAGTTTTTTTTTTTTTTTTTTTAAAACACACAGACGAGATATCACCTAAGGGTCAGTGTGAGTTGTCTTAAGAGTGGGGCAAGTGAGAAGTCTGACTTAACTGGGAACATCTGTTTGCCAGTTGTAAGGGGAGAAGACATGATACTACTACGATATTGATCTTTTGCTTGTAGTTGCTGCTGCATGTGTGTGAGAGAGAGAGAGAGATGCAAGTGAGTCCGCTTATATGACAGCCTTTATCACCATGACAACTACAGCAAGATCAAGCTGTGATTCTAAACAAATCTTATCAGAAAGTATTTAGAAAATTGCATACAGCTTTTACCATGCTAATCTGAGAATCTAACTCTGGATCAAAGAGTTTAATGAGCTTACAATTGTCTTAAGCTGCCTTGAATCTACAAATGCACACCTTATACAGATAAAGTACATTCTTTTCTCTCTAGGGTCTTAAGTGAATAAATTTAAACACAAACAATTCCAAATACTGAAGTGTTGCAATTTATTTTTTAAAGTATACAAACATGAATGTACTGAGTATTGTACTGACTTTATCAAGTATTAAAATGCCAATTCAAAGGCTTCTTAAAAGCAAAGCTAATTCAATCTACAAACATGACAAGCTGAAGCAGCAAAGTCTATTAGAAAAAGCAACATTATTTAAGCCTAAAAAAAAAAAAAAAAAAAAAAAAAAAATGCCCAAAACTTAGATGTCAATAAATACAAGAACAAGATTGTTAATGTTAACAAATGAACTAAATTTTTACCCATAATTCTAATTAAGGACACCCCTGACTAGAGATAGAGAAGGTGGGGAATTATACCCAGCAATAATCTGCCTGGGGCACATCATAAATGAAAACAAAAAGAAAAGATGAAAAACAAAATTACATCTATAAAAAATGCATAGCTGCAATGTGGTGCAAAGCAAATACAGAAAGAAGTCAGCAAAGACTTGAAAAAACATTTTACGGTGCTGAAGGCTAAGTTAACTAATAATAATGGCAAGGAATGTCTGACAACTCAAGTAACAACTGGAGCATATATGCAATACACAAGTCATTTTTATCAAGTGAACAATAACAACTTGGAACAGGAAAGGGGGTAGAATAAAAACACCCAGAATGCACCAATAATTGCTTTGGCTGAACACACCTCTCATTCAATTTTGATGAAATGATAAATAATTACTTTATATTTGTATTTTATTTTAAACGTATCTTAATAAATGCGCATACAAAATATTCTTTTAGAATTGCATGGGGAAAAAATAGTGTTCATAAAAGAATTTCTGATGAGTTGTAATCAGTGGGAAAGGTTTGCGAGGGGAGGGTGGAAGATTAAATGGGAACAAATTATTTAGATTCAAGAAGTTTCTTTTTATTAAAGTAATTTTCAGAAATTAATGTAGGTGTGTCTTATGTGTAATAGAGTAAAAATATTTTAATATGTTTGGCAAAGAAAGAAAGAAAAAAGGGAACACGCAAAAAATGTCAGCCTATGAAAATTGAAAGCCAATTACGAGAAGTTCTCAGCCTGATCAAAAAAGCCCTTTAAGAAATTAAAAATATTCTGATGCTTAGCCAGACCTTGGGAAGTGGGTCAAGCCAATAACTTTTCAGCACCTCCTCATAATTTGCCAACAATTATTTTTTTTTAATAAACAAATTTTTCCATTGAATGCTTCATAAATGTAGCCTTGCATTAAATTTAGCTGTATCCAACAAATATCCAATAACCTAGTTTTGACTTATACTTCAGTGAAATTCAATAAATAACTGATTATAATGAGAAAAAAAGTGTGGGGAGGGTGTGAAGAAAACTTTCTGCTGAGTCATTGAATACTATTTAAATACAAAATTACCTTTAAGTATCCAAGAGATAAACTGTAAAAATTGTATTTCTTATAAAGTAATACAATGTTAAAAGGCAATAGTATTTATTCTACAAAAAATAGTTTTATATCTACAAATGTTATTTGATACTGGTTCTGTAAGTATGCAGTAAAGAAAAATACAGGCTTAATTCCAAGGCAAAGTCACTGACTTTAAAAAGGATGTATCAGATCCACTGACTATAATTCATAGACGTATAGGCAGATACCAGCTGTACAAATGCCCTTGTTTAATTGCCAAGTCCTGAAGAAGGTTAACAAGGTGTTACCAAATAATACCATCTACTAATGCTTCTACTAAGTGACACACACACACACACACACACACACTGTGAAAAAAAAAATTATGGCTCAAGTACAAACTAATTATTTCCATTTGACGTTCAGTCCTTGGATGTGCTGGCTTTCATAAAATAAGTTGTTGTAGTTAGAGCATAACACTTGAGGCAACATCATTAGAAATAAGCCAGTCAGGCAAAAAGAAATATCAAACCTGGGCAAAGGATCTTTGCTTTGAAATGAAAGCTTATTGGAAACTTCACTGATGTACAGTTGACACACAGGAATTAAGACAAGAAAAGTTCAAGTTCAAGCCCATGCATTGTTCATTTTGTACAAGTGGTACAATTTGCTACAAGTTTAAAGACAAAGGTCTGCATCGTTGAACCAGGAAACCTAAAGACTGAAATGGTTTCAGTTCAGCCAATGAGATGCGTAAACAGTAAATTGCCAAACAGAACAAATGGTATAAACAGCTGGATCAGAGATAATCAAAAGTAAATAGATAAGTTGACCTTATTCCCTATCATCCACATTACTAGGAAGTGGGATAAAGGAAGCTTGATTACTTGGAGATTTGTAATACATTTCCACAGTGACCATA